TGCATCCCGTTAGTTAGTCTGATTTGTGTCCTGAAAGTCAATCCAAAAATCAAAGTAAGTGTTGCATACAACCCAATCAACCAATACATAGGGGGTGTATAAATAGGGGTTATACTGGGTTTATAGGGAAAGGCAATGATTACCTCTGAGTTCCTTACCTCCAGAACTCCTCCTGAGTTCCGGCAGAGCTCCCGCAATCGGTGGGGCAACCTCCCACAGAGGCCTTGGCGCTGATTACGGGTTGCAATCCCGCCTGCCACCTTCCTCTCAGAACTAATAGACTAGACTTAGAGTGAGAAGGGCAGACAGAGAAGGTTTAAGTCCCTCAGATCTAAGAGAGGTGCACTCAGACTCGCAGGAGAGGGCCTCGTTATCTTCGTGCGCCTGAGGGTCCCGCAATGATGGTCAAAACACACTGCAGCCTGCCCAACTGACGCCGAATTGCCAACTGTCGATCCTCCTGCAATCTTCCAGGCTCACGGCACACCCTCATTCATGAGCTTAGGCCGCCCGTACCTCCAACGGCACCGGCCTACCGACAGATCAGCGGTGATCCGTCGTCCCTGCGGCTCGTCTGTTGCAGCTTTGTTCAACGAACTGGGCACCGCACCGGCCAGCCGGTAGACCTCTAGGCCCGCAGCTCAAGACCCGGGGCAATGGCATAAAACGTATTGCCCCCCTTCTTTTCTCCTTATCCCTAATTTCAGCGGGGCCTTGCAACTCCGTAGCTACCTTGCTGCTGCATAGGCTGGTAAGGCGGGTGCCACGCTGACCAACGGACAACCCTGCATTCGTGTTGTTTGCCTTCGCAGTGAACAACTCACTGGACAGGCAGGTAGCCTTCCGTTCCTGCGCACGACTTAGTGTACAGGCTAACGGGTAAGTTCCCTACTTTGCAGCTAGCTCCTGGCTCGATGGGATAGGTAGCCCGTAATGGACCGTGACGCAGAAAGGCCTCGTCTCCCCTCTTCTTCTATAGTGTCTTAGTCCCCTCTACACCACTCGATGGTTACACACAACACTTCCGTCTACAGCAATCCAGGTAGGCTCCCCTATCCCGCTGTTCACCCCGTAGTTACTTACTGCCCGGAACGTCAAAACGGTCAGATTCGAAGTGAATCTTTGCAAAAACTCGGGTCGGGCATACCGCAGCTTGCTACTATAGCTCGCTCCTTGGTTTATACCGCATCGCCAGTCTGATCGTGTTCTCAGAAGCTGGCAGGAGCTACTCCCATCACCAAGGTGAGCAACGCCCTGAGCAACAGGTAAGTCTCAAACCCCGCAGTCAGCTTCACACCTCCCTCCAACAGAATGGGCAAATCCGAATGAACCTGTCGCAGGAAAATGACTAGATGCTTTGGCACGCTAGTAGTTCACTTTCCCCAGGCACAGCCTCTATTGGTTGTACCTCGGGCCCTACCCCTTGATAGCCGAAACTTACCTTATGAACCACTTCATAGCCATGAACATCCCCTACCTAGTGCTTCCTCCTGCCCGTTCCCATCAAGTAGGGGGCAAGATCGACTATTTTCCATGTCTTCCTCTCCTTTCCCGTCTATGCCCCTGCGCACCTCTATCCCATACTAACTCGTGCTTTACTGATCCAACAATCAAACTAACAGTGTTAATGAAATCGCCTCACCCCAAACCTTCGTTTAGGCCTCTACTCCACTCGATTCTATCGAGGACCGGGTGATCCCTTGATTCTTTACCCCCACCGGCTCTTCTTCTGCCATAGCTTCGTTGTACACCCTTCTTGTCTAACTCTAATTCTACCCAACTAACTGCAAAACTAACAATACTATTCAACTCGCCTCACCTCAAAATGCTAGAATCGCATCCTCCCTCACCTGATTCGGTCAAGAATCGGATGAGATCAGCATCCTTCCCTTATCTCCTCTTTTCGTTCCGTCATACCACCGCACACGTAGTTTTTCTAACAACCCTCACTCCATTAATCTAACGCTAAAACTAACATTACTAACGTATTCGCCCTACTCTAAAACCCCCGAGTAGGTTCCTTTCCCGCCCGATTTCATCAAGAAACGGGCGGGTTCTACCATTTCCTCCCGGCCATCTTCCTCACTGCCCGTTGCGGGTTTTTCCCATTTCTACCCCGTACGCATCTGGCTCGAAATGCGTCCAGATTCCTTTCTTCATTTTTCCCTTCACCTGCGATCTTCCTCACTGTGCCCCGCCTTACTCCTCGGGTCTGTCCCCCATCGCCCCACGCCACGCAGCGCTGCCGGCCTCGATGCCCCCCCGTCGGCAGAATGTGTTGTTGCCTGTTGCTCCCGCTCGTGACCTTCCGCCCACGCTCGCTGCCTCATCCTCAGCGCCCATCGCCTCCCCTCCATGCAGCGCTATCCCCCGTTAGTGCACCCAAAGCGCTCTATTCTCCTGCGCTTGCACCTAGCGCTGCTTCTCGCGGCACAGCCTCCGCCTCTCCCAACCAGTCGATCGGGAGCAACTAGGCGAAAGTCAAAGACAACAAAAAAAATAAAAAACCCGGCATCGAACGTCCCCTAGTCTTATATGCGTCGGCCCACCGCAAGGGCCACGCTATTCTTCTCTGTATCGTTCCAATTTTAACAGATGTCCCGAAGGACACAACCCAGGCTGTGGGGTCGATCAGCCCCGACCCCTAGTTCCGCCATCTGGGTTCAGACCCAGGTCTGTATTTCAACAGTTCAATGGTGTGCCCACTGAGCTAGGCTCGTGGGCCCCGTACCGCCCCCGGCACCGCGTCCCAAGGCCAAGCGGGACGCGGCTCTGGCGCAGCCACGAAAACAGTTTGTAATTGCACTTCAGGCAATCCCGCGAGTGCAACACACCCCACACGACCCTACCGTCGTCTCGCGTCCCAGAATGGGATGCGACAGAAAAAGGACCAAAACTAGTAAAGCAAAGAAAAATAAAGTAAAAATAAAATGAATATGGGATAAGGCCGGGGCACCGCAGCGCTGCTGGCACCTCGCCAGTTCCGCGAATCGGGCCCGCCGCCTCGCTCATTAACAAAATCGAGGGGGATAGCCCAACGGCCCTCAACCCCATCGTCTTCCTCCTCGATGCTTCGCTGCTGCTGCTGCGCCGACGCCCATCGACCTCGATCTCGAAACCTTCGTAGTAGTAGTCCGATGCCGTAACCTATAAGGCTAAGCCCAAGCCTGAGACTAATATCCGCGGAGTGCCATATAAGGCGGTACGGCATTGCGCTCAGCGCCAGGGAAATTGGCCTGAGCCTCATCTCAGCCTACAACCGCGCGCGCGGCCGCCCAGCGTCTGCGCCGACTTACCAAGTTGTACCACGGCTGCCACTGGCGCCACTCCGCGTGCCAAGCCCTACCGCAGTCACACTGTCGCCTTCGTCGCCGTCGTCGAGGTCGTCCTCCGTACGCACGCATGAATCAATCAAACGTACCAACAAAAGAAAAAATATCCTTAAATCCTAGTCCTAATCAAAAGTAAACAAATATAAAAATAAAAATAAAAATAGAAGCGAACGGACTGGCGTCCGCGCCAGCTTTATAATCAGCGATAGAAACGGAATCACGCGCGCCTCAAACCTGAGAGCCCACACACTCTTTATTCTAGTCAACCATCCGGCCATCGTAACCATGCAGATGCAGTCGCGCCTCGCGCGATATACTTGACTTTAAGCCAAACTCATTTTTTTCTGTCATTTGCAAAAACCAGGGCGGATACCCTTCTAAGGGTATTCTCGCCGACAACGTGTCGAAAACCTTCCGGTCATGCTGAGCCGACAGTCCATTGCAACCGTCGTTGGACCGACCTCCAGTAGGTCCCTGATTTCCGCCATGATCCCGTCTTGGCCGTCCCTGTCCCTGTCCCACGAGGCCCGCACCCGTCCGAAGCTCTCCCCGAATCCTGCTTCTTTCCGCCGAAGTCGCAAGTGCTCTGCAGCAACAATTATGTCCGGGAGGGAGGGGGGTTTGAAGGGGGGGGCTAGTTGGGGAGGAGAACGAAGGAGGGGGGGGAGGATGTGTACGGGACAAAGAAATGAGACAGCAATTTGTAGGGCCAGGCATTTTCGTCCCGCCTCCAGTGTTTCCAGCATATCTGCGAATCGTGGATATCTGCAATTACTCTCTTCGGACCCAACCACTCTTCTGAGAACTGGTCCCTCATTTCCTCTGTTTTCTGTGTCTTGGCGTGAGGGGAGAGGGTCGGGTTCTCGTTTATCATCCTAGACCCTTTTACATACAACTCAAAAGAAATTTATAACACCCACATATATTTACATAATAAGAAATTGACCGCAATCGATAGAAAGGTACGTTCAATCTGAACTAACTAAGAAAATAGTTTGAATCATCATGCAATACATCCAATAGTACAATATCAAAATAAAATCCGACCACCCCGGATCGAATTCCACAAAACACTCGTGCAACCGCCAACAAGGAGTTGGCTACGGATAATAACATTGATGCAGCTGACAAGGTAATCGACTGCCTTAGTTTTGACTTGATGAGACACGCTGCCAAAGTTATTTTAACCCACCGCCGACTCAAGACTAGACTCACATACCCATTTTAGTCTTCTTGGATGACAAGTTGTTTTGCGGTTGATTCTTGATCAGGTGCATTGCTTGAAGTGATGCATGTCTCTCCCTTTAGGAAGTGGTATGGGGTACTCCTCCTCGCCCGAGCACAAAACTCGGATCTCAGAAGTCAGGTCGTCTCCACCGAATCGGCAAAGTACCCCCCCGTAGAACGGTCCACTCAAGGTCGATAACAAGGTCGGCTCCTGAAGCAACGAATCCCCGCCCCAGATGCTTCCTTGAGAGAGAACATGTGTCCACTACAAGTAACTTTCAATTGTTCTCATTTCTCCTAAGTTCAGGGTACCTTGAACAAAGAGAAATCAAAAGGGATAAAGAATGAGAATCATTTGGATAGGTATAGACAGATAAGTTCGTCCGGAATAGAGGCGGTCAATCCTCAGAAAAAGGCTAAGCTCATTTCATCTCTTCTGCTTTATTTCAAGCAAATTCATTTTATGGTGCACACAAATTTAACGTTTTTCAAAACAAACGAATCATTTTTGACATGCAACAGGTAAGAAGTAAAGGAAGACAATCCTTTTTCTTTTCTCCAACAGGCAAGGTCAGTCTCCATAGCAATCATTCTTCTACCTACCTGCACACACAAAAACAACCACAGGTCCAGAAAATCTAGCAACCCATACTCCCGTCAGATCTCACTTTTCACATGCATGACACACGCGCTTTACTCGACCTTTTCTTCTGAACGTCCAAAACAGGGTCAAGCAAAGTGTGGGTTCACACAGGCGTGAAAAAGAATTTGAGCCAATTAACTGACCTTGAGTGAAGTGGTGTCGAACGCCTAGCTCACTCAAGAAAATCGAATAGATTCTCGCCCTTAGATGAGAAGGTTGTCGCAACTAATCGTCGACAAAGTGATCCACACCACTCCCTTGCGATGACAACCTGCCACAATACCTTCTCATCATACAATCACCTTCCAACAATTTTGCGGCGTTCTCTCGTTACTGCCACTCGCCTCCAAAGTCACGGCGTCCCAGCGGCGTCACGCTCACGCCACTTCAAAATGCACCACTACTTTGGCGGTACCTTCTCTATGTCAATGCTCCACCTCCACTCAGTGCAAAAATACTGTCGTCACCGCTGTGAAACCAGTGCCGTTGCTGCAAAAATCCGACAGCGCTTCTGCATCACCGTCGTTAAAACCAGAGTCGTCGACTCAAAAATCCAGCAGTGCTTCCGCACCACCGCCGTCAAAACCGGAGTCGCCGCCGCAAAAATCCGACAGCGCTTCCGCACCACAACTGTCAAAACCGGAGGCGCCGCCATAAACATCTGGCAGCGCTTCCGCACCACCGCCGTCAAAACCGGAGTCGCCGCCGCAAAAATCTGGCAGCGCTTCCGCACCACTGCCGTCAAAACCGGAGTCGCCGCCGCAAAACTTCGACAGCGCTTCCTCACCACCGCCGAGAAAATCGGAGGCGCCGCCATAAAAATCGGGCAGCGCTTCCACACCACCGCCATCAAAACCGGAGTCGCCACCGCAAAAATCCAGAGTCGCTGCCGCAAAAATCCGACAGCGCTTCCGCACCACCGCCGTCAAAACGGAAGTCGCCGCCGCAAAAATCGGGCAGCGCTTCCGCACCACCGTCGTGAAAACCGGAGTCGCCACCGCAAAAATCCGGCAGCGCTTCCGCACCACCGCCGTCAAAACCGGAGGCGCCGCCGTAGTCCCGCAGCGTCCTTGGTTCCGTCCCGTTGGACCAGCGTCAGCCAAAAGGGAGGGGAGCAGAGTGCTCCCTGCCTTGGCCATGGCTGTCCTCCTCCTTGTCTGACGCTCCTTTGTTTTCCTCCAGCTTCGCCAGCAGCACTCCTGTCTCCTCTCCAGCACTCCAGCAATGAGGCAAGTGTGCTGTCACACACGGGCAGCTGGAGGCAAGTGTGAGGCAGCTGGGGGACAGCTGCCTCTTTTGTAGTGGCTGAGGAGGGCAGCAGCAGCCTCAGCTGCCCCCAGGCAAAATTCGTCACTTGCCAGGGGTCGTCGATCTGAGTCAGATCAACAGACTGAGGCTGTCTCACCTCAGCCACACACTTAGGGTGGCAGTTGTACTCAACTTCCCCCCTCTTTTTCTCCCTTTTCCCTGCACTCTGCCCCACACTAAGTGCACGTTCAATGGGACAATGGTTGTTTCCAGCCAGATTCCCCTCCCCACCTCTTCATCTCCCCAGCCTCTCGCCTGAGTCACATTCAGGCCAGTTTGGCCTGCATTTGATCATAGCTGCGGCCACATTCATGGTCGTGGCTTTTTCTTTTTCCCTTTCTCCTTCCCACCTCTGCCCTCCCCTGAAAACGGGGAGGACAGTTGTCAGGTTGGGAGAGGTAGGTCCTCCCCCTCCCATCCTGTCTGCAACCAGCTCCCACAGCCCCATCCCACGCGCACGTTGTGGGCCGCGGGATCCTAGATCTCGCGGCCACGAATATTTGTGGCTTTCCTAGGTGGGGAGCTGGTGCCACTCCCACACAGCCTGGAAAGGCTGTTCCATTCCAGCCACAAGGTATGTTACCTCGTTTTGCTTTCCTTTTTCTCTTTTTTTTCATTTTTCTTTTTCACAGTTTTTAGTTTGTTTGTTTTCAGCCCCCTCCATTTTCCCTGTTTGGTCAAGCCTCAACGGCTACGAACGGGAAGGGAGAAAACGAAGGGGTCTTAAAAAAGAAAAGCAACAAATAATAATATAAAAAAAAACTTACCTGCAATGTGTGCCAACGCCTTGAAGGCGGGCGGTCTGCACACCCCCACGATCTGGGGTAGATTCATTCGATTTTGCCCATCCTCAGATGGGCCGTCGGGGTTGCAACCCCCTGATAAGTCGGTGGAATCCTGACGAAACGGCCTAGCACAGTCATCCCCCTTCTCTCTCTCTCTCTCCCTCTCTCTACGTCCGTCACACACACGGACCCGACAATGTATCCCCCGTAGATTCACTCGGTTTTGCTCACCCCGTCACTAGAGGTAACAGTTCGTTCGTCAAAACGAACGGGGTGCCTTACTAATTTTACTAATAAAAAAAAAAACAAAAAAAAATTTAAAGCAAATCTAACAAAAGAAATCTGAAAAAATAAAAAAGAAAACAAGCTTACCTGAAAAAATGGCTGCCCGTTCGAAACGGGCACCGTCAGGTGCACTGGGGATCTAAACGCCCCACGCACTTCAGGCTGCGCCATCTGGCGCGCCGCCTGTAACTGCATTTAGTTTTTTTTTTTTTTTTTTTTTTTTTTACTAATAGTAAAAGTCGTTGGCTTATGCCAATGGCTACAGCTACACTGCCCCTCCCCCAACCTCATCTACAGGCGCCATGTGGCGTCGTATATATATATTTTTTTGTTTATTTATTTTTATTTTTACTTTATTTTCTCGATTTATGCATGTCATCCTTGCGCAGGGCCATGATGTTATCCGCGCGGCCGTTTTCGGTCATGAGATCTGATGATGTCGGGGTCGAAATCGACCGCGCCTCACGTTCCTTTCCGGTGGGCTGTTCCAAAAGGAGCTAGCCCAGTACGATGCCTTCAGGTTCGATCCCAGTGTCTGTTGGGTGATAGCTTGATGCTATAACCTACTGGGCTAGCTCCTATTCACGGAAGCTATACCCACAGCTCTTCTATTTGAAGAGTTGTTGCCCAGTAGGTCACCCTGCCTCGGGACTAGGCAGGCCCGAACTGCCTCACCTTGGCAAATGGCTGCCGCCCCGCCATCTAACCGGCAGAGGCTTAGCCTGGTAAGCTCGATAAGCCACCCCTTTGGCCTACTCAGGCTTTGAATCGCGAGGCTGTCATCATTTTAAGTAGGATATGAGTTAGACTTAGTATTCCAACGCCCGTACGCCTCTTCGTACACGCCAAACACGGTTGGTGACTGACCACACCGCCGCTATAGCATGCCGCATGCGTTTGGACTTAAGCAAAAATTTAGTCTCTCAGTTGTAGGTTTGTTCTGAATAAACTTTTGGCAGACGTCAGTCTCATCAAGTTCCTTAATTTAACAAAAAAGTCGGACACCGTCCGACGTTTAAAATCCCCGGCAAATACCCTTGTCAGAGTATTTGCCCCGACAGCATTCCCAGACCCCATTGAATGACTTCCACGTTATTCACTATTTACTTTAAAAGGTCAGGATTCTTATAAAGGCAACGATCATAATATACATCAATTTCAACGATCGTCCGAAAGTAAGCCGGAACTTTTCCATCAACATACAACAATATAACAACAAAACGGGATTTAGCCTCCGGAAGCCTTAACTAAATACATAAAAACTGGATGTAGCCTCCAGAAGGGTCTTCCAAATCAAGATTAACCCCCTGATGGGTCTTTCAAGTTAGAATTAACCCCCTGACGGGTCTTTCAATTCAGGATTAACCCCCTGATGGGTCTTTCAAGTCGGGATTAACCCCCTTACGGGCCTTTCAAGTAGGATTAAGTGCCTGATGGATCGTTCAAGTCAGGATTAACCCTCTGACGGACATTTCAAATTAGGATTAACCCCCTGATGGCCTTTCAAGTCAGGATTAACCCCCTGACGGGTCTTTCAAGTGTATCAATCTCCTGGAATTGTTCGAACGTAGTCCGAACGAACCATTTAGAGAGAAATCATTCTTTCAAAAGTCCTTATTCCTATCTTGTTTGATATCCACAATATGGACTCGTAGTTACTCTTAGTATTACCTCAAACAACAGTTTTTCAAAAATATGACAAGTTTAAAAAATTTGTCATATCTGAACATCATACGTCCGACTAAGCTTAGGGAATGAAGACTCAATCTGAGAATTATACATCCATACATCCAAGTATCATCAGGAAATGAAGGGTTGTATACCATACATCAGACTTTAGCTGGGAAATGGAAAGCCCCCCTGAAATTCACACATCCAGATCAAACTGGGAAATAGATACATAGGTAAGTCAGGGAATGGACAACCCAAGCGTGCAACATACATCCGACTTGTGTCGAGAAATAAGGGATTATCCTGAAATCCATACATCCAGACAAGCTGGGAAATATATACATAGGCCCCTCCATACATTCAACTCAAGCAAGGGAATGGACAACTCGAGTATATGCCATACATCTGACCTTCGTTGAGAAATATCGGTTTAACATGAAATTCATACATCCAGATAAACTGGGAAATAGATACATAGGCCCCACCATACATTCAACTCTAGTTAGGAAATGGACAACTCAAGTGCATCATACATCCAGGCGTACCTAGGGAATGACTGCACATTTTTGCATCATACATCCAACCACGACTGAGAAATAAACATCTGTCTGTTATATATTCCGCCAATGTTGGGGAATGACAATTCTAAAAAGAGAAGATGCTGCCAGCGATAACACCAAATTCACCACAATTTACCAAAATTAAACATTAAAGGTTTTTTACTTTCCACAACTCAATGTCTTGCTTATAAATCTGTCATAACAACTTTCCTCGCTTATCGCTTGGATGAGTTTGCTAATTACTTATTCACATTATTGCTCTATCGAGATGGACAATAACGTGGGGTGTGTCCTATCAAACCACAAGAGCGACATCTCACTTTCTTCCACCAATTCCCTGCTCGTCGAGAACGACGATGACCAAAATTGTCCTTAGTCGCATACTGAACATTAGCGATTTTCGGTATATCCTGAAGACTAGGTCGAACCTCCTCTCGTTTATGCCTTACATTTCTGACTGAAGAGTCAACCGTACCCTTCCGCTTCTCGTCACTATATTCCTTCGACAATCTGACAGCGACTGTCGTCTCACAATCATTTTCTTTCATTGCTTTCAAAGACTCTTTAACCTCATAAAGTTCTTTCAAAATATGCTCATCACGCTGGTCTGAAATGCTATTTGACTGTCGACGCATGTTTTTCAGATTTAGATGAAGAATCTGATCAAAACCATCGTTCAAGGCATTCTCGCGGATCTTCTGCCAAACAAAAGAAGACTTGACACCTTTCAATAAAACCTGTATTTCTACCTCTGAAAAGTTCACAAGAAACATCCGACTCTTATCAATTTCCGACAGGTCCAGAACAAGACGAGCCACTCGCTCAAACATAGAAAGAAATTTTTCGAAAGTAGGATATTTGTCACGACAAACATTTTGGAGGTCATCACGAGTTAAAGTTTCGTTTCCAAGATGGAATATATCAAACATCGTTTGATCAAAATCATTCCAACTTCTGACTTCTGAAACTAGCCTTGCTACGTCACGACGAACATCTATATGTACCCATGACGTCACCCTTTTTAAAATTGTCTGCTCATCCCACTCGTGGGCAGCAACCAATTGCTCAAATGTTGAAAGAAATTTCACAACATTATCGCCATCAAAGATCGGGACATCGATTTTTGGAGCAGTTGTCGCTCTTTCGATCTTCCCGAGCATTTCAATCAACTTCTCCATTTTATCCCAAGGATCGTTATTCAGCCTGCTACCTTCCGCCATCTTGCGATGAGAAGATTAACCTGCAAGCAATTAGGCATAAAGGTAAGAAGCCGAAATGACTCGTAACATCTATCAAAATCAATCATGTCTATTTTTAAAAGATATCAGTTTAAAATCAATACAATACCTGAGTGTCGTTCCTCTAGGGACAACGGTAGTTTGTCATTATCCAACTTATCCCCGACAACGGCGCTACCTTTCGAGCGCATCGGCCACGGCGTCAGCGAGGGCCCTCCCGGCCGCGTCACGCAGGAAAAGCCGTCGAGACGGGTGCGAGGTCGGGTCGTCCCTTCGCCGCTCTAGCCGGGTGCGCCAGCTGTACATCCCGCGGTCCCCTACGACAACATAGGTTCCCGTGGGGCATAAACTTGCCTTCCCTAAGGGCTGTCACCACCCTTAGGGGCGTATCCCTACCGAGCTACCGACTCACGTGCGAAAGTTTTTACATGCAGTTGCAGAGGTGGGTAGGCCAAGGGCGTTTACTCGTTCGCTGTAGTATAGATACGTTTGGTTAACGCCTAGTGGACCAAGGCGTCGTCCGTCCATTAGGGCGCTGATCTCCTAAGAACGAAGCGTACGCCGAACAACAAGGATGGTCTCAACCAAGCGTGAAACCCACAGTATCCTAAACCCTTTTACATACAACTCAAAGGAAATTTATAACACCCACATATATTTACATAATAAGGAATCGACCGCAGTTGATAGAAAGGTACGTTCAATCTGAACTAACTAACAAAATAGTTTGAATCATCATGCAATACATCCAATAGTACAATATCAAAATAAAACCCGACCACCCCGGGTCGAACTCCACAAAATACTAGTGCAACCGCCAAGAAGGAGTTGGCTACCGATAATAACATTGATGCAGCTGACAAGGTAATCGGCTGCCTTAATTTTGACTTGATGAGACACGCTGCCAAAGTTATTTTAACCCACCTCCGACTTGGGACTAGACTCACATACCCATTTTCATCTTCTTGGATGACAGGTTGTTTTGCGGTTGATTCTTGATCAGGTGCATTGCTTGAAGTGATGCATGTCTCTCCCTTTAGGAAGTGGTATGGGGTACTCCTCCTCCTCGCCCGAGCACAAAACTCGGATCTCAGAAGTCGGGCCGTCTCAACTGAATCAGCAAAGTACCCCCCGTAGAACGGTCCACTCTGGGTCGATAACAGGGTCGGTTCCTGAAGCAACAAATCCCGCCCCAGATGCTTCCTTGAGAGAGAACATGTGTCCACTACAAGTAACTTTCAATTGTTCTCATTTCTCCTAAGTTCAGGGTACCTTGAACAAAGAGAAATCAAAAGGGATAAAGAATGAGAATCATTTGGACAGGTATAGGCAGATAAGTTCGTCCGGAATAGAGGCGGTCAATCCTCGAAAAAAGGCTAAGCCCATTTCATATCTTCTGCTTTATTTCAAGCAAATTCATTTTACGGTGCACACAAATTTAACGTTTTTCAAAACAAACGAATCATTTTTGACATGCAGGCATGTAAGAAGTAAAGGAAGACAATCCTTTTTCTTTTCTCCAACAGGCAAGGTCAGTCTCCATAGCAAGCATTCTTCTACCTACCTGCACACACAAAAACAACCACAGGTCCAGAAAATCCAGCAACCCATACTCCCGTCAGATCTCACTTTTCACATGCATGACACACGCGCTTTACTCGACCTTTTCTTCTGAACGTCCAAAACAAACAGGGTCAAGCAAAGTGTGGGTTCACACAGGCGTGAACAAGAATCTGAGCCAATCAACTGACCTTGAGTGAAGTGGTGTCGAACGCCTAGCCCACTCAAGAAAGTCGTATAGATTCTCGCCCTTAGATGGGAAGGTTGTCGCAACCAATCGTCGGCAAAGTGATCCATACCACTGCCTTGCGACGACAGCCTACCTTTTCATCATACAATCACCTTCCAACAATTTTGCGGCGTTCTCTCGTTACTTCCCCTCGCCTCCAAAGTCACGGCGTCCCAGCGGCGTCACGTTCACGCCACTTCAAAATGCACCACTGCTTTGGCGGTACCTTCTCTATGTCAATGTTCCACCTCCAATCAGTGCAAAAATATTGTCGTCACCGCTGTGAATCCAGTACCGTTGCTGCAAAAATCCGACAGCGTTTCTGCACCACCGCCGTTAAAACCAGAGTCCTCGCCGCAAAAATCCAGCAGTGCTTCCGCACCACCGCCGTCAAAACCGGAGTCGCCGACGCAAAAATCCGGCAGCACTTCTGCACCACAGCCGTGAAAACCGGAGGCGCCGCCGTAAAAATCCGGCAGCGCTTCCACACCACCGCCGTCAAAACCGGAGTCGCCACCGTAAAAATCCGGCAGCGCTTCCGCACCACCGCCGTCAAAACCGGAGTTGCCGCCGCAAAAATCCGGCAGCGCTTCCGCACCACCGCCGTGAAAACCGGAGGCGCCGCCGTAAAAATCGGGCAGCGCTTCCGCACCACCGCCGTCAAAACCGGAGTCGCCGCCGCAAAAATCCGGCAGCGCTTCCGCACAACCGTCATCAAAACCGGAGTCGCCGCCGCAAAAATCCGGCACCGCTTTCGCAACCCCACCGTCAAAACCGGAGTCGCCGCCGCAAAAATCCGGCATCGCTTCCGCACCACCGTCGTCAAAACTAGAGGTGCCGCCGTAGTCCCGCAGCGTCCTTGGTTCCGTCCCGTTTGACCAGCCTCAGCCAAAAGGGAGGGGAGCAGAGTGCTCCCTGCCTTGGCTATGGCTGTCCTCCTCCTTGTCCGACGCTCCTTTGCTGTCCTTCAGCTTCGCCAGTAGCACTCCTGCCTCCTCTCCAACACTCCAGCAATGAGGCAAGTATGCTGTCACACACTGGCATCTTGAGGCAAGTGTGAGGCAGCTGGGGGACAATTGCCTCTTTTGTAGTGGTTGAGGAGGGCAGCAGCAGCCTCAGCTGCCCCCAGGCAAAATTCATCACTTGCTTGGGGCCGTCGATCTGAGTCAGATCAACGGACTGAGGTTGTCTCACCTCAGCCACACACTTAGGGTGGCAGTTGTACTAAACTTCCCCCCTCTTTTTCTCCCTTTTCCCTGCACTCAGCCCCACACTGAGTGCAGGTTCAGTGGGAAAATGACTGTTTCCATCCAGATTCCCCTCACCACCGCTTCATCTCCCTAGCCTCTCGCCTGAGTCACATTTAGGCCAGTTTGGCCTTTATTTGATCATAGCTGCGGCCACATTTCTGGTCGTGGCTTTTTCTTTTTCCCTTTCTCCCTTCCACCTCTGCCCTCCCCTGAAAGCAGGGAGGACAGTTATCAGGTCAGGAGAGGTAGGTCCTCCACCTACCATCCTGTCTCCAGCCAGCTCCCACAGCCCCATCCCACGCGCACGTTGTGGGCCACGAGATCCTAGATCTCGCGGCCACGAATATTTATGGCTTTCCTAGGTGGGGAGCTGGTCCCACTCCCACAGAGCCTGGAAAGGCTGTTCCTTTCCAGCCTCAAGGTAAGTT